CCAAAAATACGTAAATAAATCAAAACCCCGTGTACATGTATAAAGGAGGATTTTCCCATATTTTAGGAAAGAACCGCCTTTCTACTTTTGAACAAAACTCCTGCTTAAAGGAAAGGACGTATAAACAGAATGATTGACATTTGGGAGGACAATATGTTGATGATCCCCCGTGTAGAAAATCCTCTTGTATACCTTTAAGTGCTGCCCTGGGCTTGTTACGCAAATGAAAAGACAAAACTCACCAAATCAGGTTCTTTTTGGTCTTGTGTGGCCAAAGATTCTGTTCACGCGCAGGACGAGCGCGCCCTCCCTTTGTCTCCAAATAGAGCAGAGGCTGGTGTTGTTCCAGGTCGGCCAAACGCAGCCGCTCGTCCCCGCCGAAAAGATCCAGGCCAAGACATGCCAGCAACGCCAAATTGTCGTAGAATTACATACCCCAATGAAGGAGAAAGCTCAAAAGTATTTGTCTTAATCAGGAGCGTAAGTTTATTGTACACACGTGCGGAGAGCTCACATACACAAAGCAGCGTCCATAAGCTCTGACGCGGCCAGACCAGGTTCCTGTTTACATAGAGCAACACATGAAAGACAGTCACGCCCACAAAAGATGGGAGGGGGTCACCAGTACAGGAGGCGCATCCAGAGGCGAGGCGCCTAGTCCGGGGGGAGGCAATCAGACCGTGCCATAGAGATGCAAACAGAGAGACAATGGACATGCAGGATGTAGAGATGCAGACATACAGATGCAAGATGCAAAAGGGACAAGGGTGAGACAGTCATTGTCTGTAGGTGCGGGGGGAAGCCCGGCTCCTTCCTGCAGGTTAGCTGGATAGAGCAGCAGGGGGGGGTGAGTTGGCGTCCCGAGTCTAGGCCGCTTGCCATCACAGTGCAGAGCATGTAGCTCAAAGTGCTGTGGAAACTAACACTGCACTTCTCTCCACTCACACCAACCCCAAACCTTTTCCTCTGTTGGGACAGGGACGAGTGTCACATGTTAAGGGAATTGGAAAGAGCACAATACAGGGTCATCTGGGAAGAACCTCTGTTGTATGCACCAGTAACTTCACGCTGAGGTAGAAAGATAGATAGATAGATATATATATAGATATATTCTTTATTGATCCCCGTTGGAGATATTTTGCTCTAGTCCAAAGTAAAATGCTAAATGCTTTCATTCTTAGCATTCCTCCAATGGATTTTCACCGGATCCGCTTGGTTCGGACTTTGAATCTGGTCTGCTCTGGTCTGGACCAACACTGGGCAACAGTGGCTCAGTTGGTAGAGCATTGGCCTTTGAGCCTAAAAGTCGTGGGTTCAAGCCCACCATGAGACCTACTTCAAGACTCCCACTGATGTCTGCTGTCGTTGTGTCCTTGGGCAAGACACTTAACCCCACTTTGCCTGAAGCCCCACTGAAAGATCTCAGCTCCTGTGGACTCACCACCTGCAGGAGGGTCAGTGAGGGGCTGGTGCTCTGTGGACTGGGTGCAGCTCTGACTGCCACCCCCCTGACCCAGAAATGGATTATGGGGAAGAAAATGGATGGATGGCTTTCCTTCTTAGCATTCCTCCAGTGGATTTTCACCGGATCCGCTTGGTTTCGTAACATGAATCTGGTCTGCTCTGGTCTGGACCGGTGTATAACCATGAACACTACTGCTGCAACATCTCAGGCAGAAAAAAGCAAGAAAAATAAAAATGGTCAAATATAAAACGACCACTGTTCCAGAGCGACTTAGGACTTGCTGCCGTTTTCCAGTGCATTCAAAAGTAAAGTGGAGGCTTGTCTACTATAATTGCATGTTTAGAGAATTAGACATTGAGATTTAGTGCAATATCTAAAAACTACTGTTGACAAAGCTGCAGAGCTGTAATACAAATAATAATGAACGACAAATTAAAATCTCTAAATGTGAAAATATTCCAAAAAAGTAGAAGGTGGTTCCACAATGTGATAACTCATCAGGGATAAACAGTTTGTTCCAGAGTGAAAATGAATACACTGCACTGCACTGTGAGTTCTGTACTTCATTCAAATTAAACAAGGAACAAAAACATCTCCTGCACTCATCCGTGTATCTCTCCTCTGTGATTGGCTCGTCTCCCTGTGTGGTCTCGCTCTGGTTGGTGTAATCCCAAGGTGCTGCTGAAAGTAAATAAACTTGAGCTGCTATGTTTCTTTCATCTGACGTTTATTAATGAGCCAATCAATTTGTGTTTGTGTCCTTCTCTCCAGCGAATTCTCAGCCTGGTCACTTTCAACAAATTGGCTGACCCGGGGTTGACTGTTTCAGTATTGTTGCAGTGACCAAGCCTCAGGTGGTTAAATAGCTTGTTAAATAAAATCTGTCAGCCCCCGGTCATAAACCAGAGCTTACATGCGCTGACGTGCCACTTTAGACCCATTATGTGAGGGTTTGAATGACAGCGGTCAAACTGTGGAAACTATAGGGGCAATCAAGTGGCAAGAGCTTGGCATCGTGACATCACACATCATACACTTTTCATTTAGCCTCATATCATGATACTGACTTATGTAGACTTTCACAGACTACTTTTAAAGCCTATTCAAATATGTGAAGACTGTAAAATGATAAAAGTCTTCAGCAGCAGTGACACAGCAGTGTATCAGAATATTCCACAGCTTGGTTGCTTACTTTTGAATTCCTAATTTTGCAAAAGTGTTAATATATGAATTAATGTATTTATTTCAGTCACCACACGACATGTTTGACCGTATTAGTGTTCTTTAGGTTTAGGGTGAGGGTTTGGTCTGAACGCAGCATAAGCAATCAGAATGAGGGTGCATGAATAAATGTGTTTATTTAATGCCTTTTGTAACATTATTTTATCTTTAAGGCCTTTATTTAGCAGTTGAGGTATTGATTCAATAAAAACAAGTCTACGCATCGCCATCTAGTGGTATTGGATCTACATTGCACACAAACCTAGGAAAAAGTAATACCAAACAAAATACTTGTTGTGTGATGAAGTTTTATTATGGAAGAACAGAAAGTTCAAACACATGAAGATGTCAGAGGCAGAGCTCAAAGATCTGCTATTCATGCCAACAGACTGCTGTGTTTGGGGAAACCAGAGTTTTGGATAAACCCATCGTCCGATAGTCGGGGGACAGGTGAAAAAGGGGTTGAAATTGTCGCCTGTGTTAGTTTGACTGAACAGTTCAATGGTAGAAGTTCCATGCTTATTGCCAACACGTTTTAGTTTCTCATGTAAACTGAGCTTGTGCAGAGTGTAAGCCTTTGCTGCCCTCTAGTGTCAAAAAGGCAGACTACAGTTCCAACTTTGTTATCCCTATTTGTGGCAGTCTATGTTTGTATGTTTAAAAGAGAAAAAAAAACTCTTTAGTGAAAGCTGCAGAAGAAGCTCCAGCTGGAAAAGAAATATAACAAAAGGAAAATTGTAACAGTTTTGTCTAAAGCAGTTGGCAACAATATGAACTTTATTCTTATTTCTATTCATTAGCAGAGAGTAAATAAAGATCATGCCATGCAGGAAGACTTTAGGATTATTATTATTTTTATTTTTTTTAATGATTGGAGTTGATAAGCCTCTTCTAAAACAGAATTGCTTTTATTATTAGTGTTTTGTTTCCCCGTCCAAACAAGGCAAACAACTGGAACCCAAAAGGCTAAACAGAACAAACTGTCCTTGGGTTCAGTGAACATTGAAGTCCTTCGTCAAGTGCAAAAAAAACAAACAAAAGAAATGGAATGAGGGGCCGAAGGGGAACTTAACTAGCAAATGTATCCTCAAATATAGAAAAATGACTTTTACTTGACAGCTGCAAACACTATGGGGCTGTAGAGTGATGACACAGTGTAGATTAGCGCTGAAAAATTCATCACAAAGTTTTAGTGGTAGCAATCTTGGAAGTTGCAAAAGAAGGTAAATCTTTTACAAAAGCCTTAAATGACAACAATAGGAATATAGCTTGAATTGAATCTTGATTTGAGTATTTTGTTGTATATGATTTGCCAAGACATTTTATTAGATCGTTTCATATCAGAGAAGAAATCAGTTGTTTTTCCTATTTTACCTAAAACAAGACATTGGGAAACGTGGGAAAGCTAAAAACAACCAGCTAATTCAAGCTTTTTTCATGTCTTGTAAAATAAATTGAAATTGAAATGTTGTGTCAGGAAAGAAATCACAATTTGATATTTGGCCAAAAGTGCATCTTTACTGCACTTGTTCATGCTGAAGCGGTTTGTAAACAGTCTTTCTGTTAATGTTTTATAACATGACTACTACTTTGACAACCTTCTGTCTTTTTCTTCTCTGGTGTTGATATTAAGCACTGTCAGCAAACCCTTCTTTACTTTTTGAATTCAAGCAATTTCTTTACTTTTGTCTATTCAACACCTTTTATTTTTTTATTTTATTTTTACCCAAAAAAGTTAAGTTGTTAAATTGCCACAGCTTTCAATCTGAAAGTAAGAAATGATGCCCCACTTTACTCATCTATAGTTACTGCCAAATAGTTCACACCTTTTAAAAAGCATCAGACATTCACTGCAGGTTTTTAAAGGGAGAAAAAGTAAAAACAAAGTTTAACAGTCGTCTGGAACAAAGCACTGACAATATTAGCCTGTGTCAGAGGCTCTGATTATACAAAAGAATGTCTTTGCATAAAAGTCCGTCTTTGGATGGTGCCAGTGTTCTCCTGACATTTCAGATTCATTCTTACTTAACTTAACCCATATCAGAGTTATTTTCATTAATTGTATGTAGTATTTTATTGCCATTTGAGATGCCCTTTGGTCACCATGACTTCTCCAGCCCCTTAACTGACCAGGCATGCATGCCAGGATTTATACATATAAATAATTGTGGTCATTCCGGACCAAACGTACATGTAGACCATGTGGACCATGTGGAGCACCTCCAAGAGACTTACTGTGTATGACTGCTCTGGCCTTTGGCACCAACCAGTGTGACCAATCTGTGATAGCATGTCCAGTCACGTGAGTGTGGACCTACTTCAGGCCGGGCCAGCCCCTCTCCCCACAGGACACCTCCCCAGTGAAGGACAGAGGGGACGGAGCGTACAGATCAGAGTCTGTGTCTGACTCTCCCTCTGCTATGAAGGGCCGGACTCTGGCGCACCGAGAGTGTCCAGGCAGGCCCTCTGCTCCCACTGCGCCCAGAGAGCCGCTAAAGAACGATGGTCCAAAGAAGTCCTCCTTGGCCTGGGAGATGCTGAAGCCGCTGAAAGAGCGCTCCAGCTCCTCGTGGTCCACCGAGGGGATGGACAGAGAGGTGTCACTCTCAGCTGCTGCAGGCTCCTGCTGACAGTGATGCCTCCTGTGACGCCTCCTGCTCTGGGAGCCACTGTCCCGGCTGCTCCCTGGTCCAGAGGCCGGTGGAGGCGGCAGGCGGAACAGAGTCGGGGACTGGTCGGCCACAGGGGAGGGCGTGTTGGCCACACTGCTGTTCCAGGCCGGCTGACTCAGAGGGTGCTGCAGCTGGTGCTGCCATGAGGTGGAGGGTCGGCTGCACACTGAGGGTGTGCCCACAGAGCAGGAGACGGGTCGTCCCAACAGAGGGTCCTTCTTCTCCAGAGAGCAGTCAGAGCACATGACATCCACAGCAGAGAACGTCTTTACCTCCATCTCCTCCTTCACCTCCCCCTGGCACTGCATGTCCTCCTTGTCCTCCTTGTCCTCCTTGCCCTTGGTGTGGTCAGGACTGTGGTATGGTGGGGCGGGATATGACTCTTTAGAGTTGAAGAAGGCTTCTGTTTCTGAGCGTGGGATACCCATACGCTGTATGTACACATTCACCAGGAAATCAAGTTTGCGGTCCATGCACACAACCTGAAAGTCAAAGTAAAACTCTATGACTCTACTGATCCAAAACAGCAATATACATTAAAAAAAGACATATTAATACCGTAACACACATTTTTACAACGTTAATTAAAATTCATACCTGTTTTTCCACTTTCAACAGGCGTCCCATCATGCTCTGGTCCTCTGCCGTTTCTGCTTCAGGTTTGGGCCCTTTACCTACAATCTGGTCAACTCTACCATTCAGAAAGACAATGCACTATTTTAGATTCAGCAAAAAAGGAGTATGGCTAGTCGGGCTATGATGGGGAAACTCTCTACTATGACTTTTAACATGAACATTACAAAATAAGTGATGAGATGTCGGAAGATGCTGATAAACACATGAAAAATGGCTCACTGGAATAGAGCTTGGAGCATTTTTGGACAGTCATTCTGGATGTGAATGACACATGCGTGATGAAAGAGCGGTAATCATTGAAGTGATGTATGAAGAAGAGTCTCGGGCTAAAATGCATCACCGAACATGCTGTAGTCATGCTTCATCGCCATTGCATCCTGCGACTAGGGGAGCTCTCTGTCTGTAGGAGAGCAGACCTAGCAGTGTGGGACCCCTGTTGAATAACGCCCAATGACATCGCTCACTGACAGTAATTAGACACAAGCCTTTAGAGTGAGCTGTTGTCAGGTATAACAAGCTCTAGGATACAGATTCATTATAGGCAAAAGAGAGATAGGAGTTGTGCTCGAACTTAGACCTACCATATTTTCTGAACAATAAGCCGCACCTCCAATTTTTAGAAAGACATTTAATTATGCAGATGTACAAGCCGCACTGGATTATAAGCCGCACCTATCCCACATTGTATTATTGAAAAATGTTTCTCAAAAACATTCATCATGTTCTTTGTGAGTAATAAAAGTGATTCACTGACTGTTCTTAATCTTTCAGTGTGAAGCAGAATGATAAAGAGCAACATCTACCATTGCTCTGTTCACTTTAAGAGAATCAAAAAACAATTGATTTTATAAGCTATTTTCACAATTATATTATAACTTTTCAATTCTATTTAATCTGCCTGCTCTGGACCTCTGTGAACTACTCATCCATTCTGTTGGCGCCACACACACAAAAAACAAATTAAGCCGCACTCTACTATAACCCGCCTTCAAATTTCAGGAAAGAGCTGTGGTTTTTTGTTTGAAAAATACAGTAGTTTTTTATCCATTTATCCATCTTCTTCCCCTTTGTCCATTTCTGAGTCGGGGCTGCCACCCAATCCTACCAACCCACTCTCTCAGAAAAATGTGTAATAGTCACATTGGTCTACCTCCTCCATCTCCTTCTAGGTCCTCGAAAGACCTAGTTTTCTATAGTTTGTAAAATTGTGGAAAATATAAATAACCTAAGAAGTTAAGCAGGTAAGTGTCTGGTTAGTGCAGTGATGGGATAGCTCCTCGAACAACAGGGGGCACAGTGGGCCCAAATTGTTGTTGTGTCCTTGAGCAAGACACTTCACACACATTGCCTAGAATGATGACTGCTGTCGTTGTGTCCTTGGACAAGACACCTAACCCCACTTTGCCTGAAGCCCCCGCTGAAAGACCAAGGCTCCTGTGGACTCACCACCTGCAGGAGGATGAATGAGGGGCTGGTTCTAAACAGTACATGGTAATAAACACATCACTCCGGATTGCAGCCTTGAACTAATTTCCATCCGTCGTCCCATAGTCGCACATAATCATTCACACACGGAGAAGCTGCTTCCGTCAGTCCCCAGGGCAGCTATGGCTACTCCAGTGGTTTACCACCTCTGTCATGTGAAGCATTTTCGAGTGGTATATAATATAAAACTGGGGCATATTTTCATTATTGAAACTTTTAGTATAATTCTAATACAGCACACTTCTTGGACCATGGTCTTACAAAGCGCTGTATATGGTGTACTCTCCGTTCACCAGTTAAACAAATAATCTACACATTTGTTACAATGTCAATCATTGAAGTGAAATATGAAGCAATAAATGTATCTTGTTGAATTAATGTTTCTTGCCTTTTGGATGTAGCTTTCAGTACAACACAGGTGGAGAGATACCTTCTTTATTATTATTATTTTGTTCATGCATATTCAATAAACAGAATTATGGCGGTATCAAAAGCAACATATTTGATTTGTATTTTGCTTTTTATCACACACTGTCATTGAGATTGTGTAATTTGGCCTTGACTCAAAAGGGGTCCAAAATGAGAACGTAACATAAGGCTCAGTGTTGAGACTATCGGGTGCAGTCTAGGGACCTAACCTAGGACCTTCTGTGGACTTCTTATGACGAGGTGTTGATGGGGGAGGGGGCCCCACAATCATATCTATCCTGGCAAGGCACACAGAGACGATATGAGTGCAATGCAATGTGAAGCAACGCGGGAATCACGTCAGCTATGAGAACAAGGTCAATATATTCCACAAACACACAAGACAAAAACACAGCTTCATGTGACAGCCGACTGCGGGAATATATTTATACTGTTAGGGCTACAGAGAGTCATTGTGTGGAAGGTGTTTTGGCACAATTAAGAAATGTGTGAATTATTAACAGTGTCATAACCTGCTAAATGAATCAGTGAGACATTCCAGCTCTAAGTGGAGTTTAGGTTGCTGTAGAAAGGCAAAGTCACAATCTTTACGAGAAACCAAATGAGCCCTATTTGAACGTTTCGGCAAATTTACATCCCTAAAAAGGGTTAAAAAAAACTTCAAAGCCATTCAATGAGTACGCTGAATCGAATTTATAACATGTGATGTTAAAATTGTGAAAAGAGAATAATCCAATGTCCCCACTCCCCAAACACAAATGCGTTTTCCTGAGATTAGTTCTTGTATATTGATATTGAAGTATATTCATATGGCCATCCTTGCCTGCAAAAGCCAGATCCTGTCAAACCTCTACAGCAGTGCAGGGCCTGGTTAATACTGTGATGGGAGATCTCTGGAAACACCAGGTGCTACAGTGGGGCTACTGCGGCTGTGTCTGTCATGTGCCAAACTGTTATTTTGTCCTTAACAACAATGATAATGCATCGGTTTTATACAGCGCTTTAATGGGCACTCAAAGACACTTCACATGTCAATATTAATTCACTCAAAAAACGATGGTGAACTACTGTAGTCACAGCTGCCCTGGGGCACACTGACAGAAGCGAGGCAACCAGTATGTGCCATCGGCCCCTCCAACCACCACCAACCCTTCACACACACACCAGACTCATTATAAGGCAAGACACTTCACCCACAATACCTAGAATGAGTCTGGTGTGTGTGTGAATGGTTGGTGGTGGTTGGAGGGACCACATACTGGTTGCCTCGTCCCAGGCCGCTGTGGCTACAATAGTCGCTTATCACCACTGTGTATGCGTGAATGCATAATGACATGTGAAGCATTTTTGAGTGTCCTGAAAAGCTACATTTAAAACCGAGGCATTTTTATTAGGACCTGTGAGGCCTTCTTACAGTGACTTTGCCTCTCCATCAGGGAATAATGTGACTGGTCTGAAAGAGAACTCTGAATACAACACATGTGGCACACAAATGACACAGGCAGATCTCAGCATGTGTGTATCCAGATACTGCACATGTCACTGCTATCATAAGACGATGGTTTACACAGAGCACCAGCAGATATATATCTCTGAGGACAATAGAAAGTCAAAAGTTGAGTGAACGATGTTATCAGAGAGAGGCAGTTCTGCACTTGCCTGGACTGCAAGTTCTTGATGCGAGAGAGCATGTCCAGATGCCCAGCTGAATACTGCTCGATCACATCCATCACATCGTACGGACGCAGACTCTCTTTGAAGCGCCTTTTGGACACGAGGAACTTCATGACACTGAACAAAACAGTAATAGAAATGTTTGCTCGTTTGTCAAAGTATGGAACTGTATATAGTAAGAGTAATATAAAGTAGACATGTTTTAAACTGTCTGAACTATGTATTTTAGCATCAAGACGTCTCATTGTTATACAGATTTGGTTAAGGTACACTTTATGGTCCATGGAGAGAAAAGTTTTCTCTGCATTTGAACCATCCTTCCAAACACACGCAGACCTGATGATTTTGTGGCGTATGTTTTGGAGAATGATGAAGCTGGAGCCTGGAGGATGCTCACTCAGACACAGGGAGAAACATGCAAACTTCACACAGAAAAACTTTTCATATCATTTAGTATACACAGTTTAGCGGTATATAGTATACACAATGCATAGGTCTTACTTCATAGTGAGAAAAGGGTCCCTCTCATTTACAGCAGTGCTTACCAGATTGCTCGTATGGTGACCTTGAGTCCTGAAGGCAACTCCTGAGTGAGGAACTCACAGTGGCAGCTCTTATCATCCCCAAAGTCTTCTCCCGGGAGACTGGCCTCTGCAAGGTGAAGGGCACAGTGAGCAGCAGAACAGGGCTCTCTCACTGCAGTGCACGAGCAGAAGCAAAGCACATTCAGTATCTCATATCCTTTGGCCTGGAAAGTGCACCATTGGATTATTGTGGATTTCAAGCCAGTAACTCAGCTAGGTCCATTCATGTGCATTGTTAAACAAAAGAGAGATTTTAGTGCAGAATTGAAGGAAAGTGCTGATGGTAAAAAGCTTTTCTCATAGTACCTTAGCCTACGCACTCCCTGGATGTACCTGATAGACAAGCATGTGTGCTACCTTTGATTAGCTCAGCATGAAGACCTTTACAGGTTTAGAAGCGTTTCGAAAACAGGCAAACATGTTAAAAGCTGATTGGTGGACATCAGTGACCATCTTGGTAGGGAAAGTGAGAAGTTCCCATGCAAGGTGAAGCATCCTTTGGCTGTTTGTTTCAAATACCATATCACCACTTGACTTGAACCCTTTAGCTCAGCCCATGGCTTCTTGATCAAAATAGCTTCAGAGGTGGATAATCCTGAAGGTATTTGTTACAAAGAGTATTCTTTGAACATTTCTCTGGCATCTGATCTATTTATGTATAGTTTACGAAGGTGCAGACGAGTGCTCTTTAATAATAATTAATGTTCAGGATGTAGTCCTTAGTCGTTACAGTAATGAGATGAAAATCCTTTATGAAAACACAGAAGTAAGGGTAAGGGTTCATGTCAAATGGTCAAATCTCGGCAGATTTCACACATGCATGTGTTTCAGACCAGTGCAGCTGACTCTAACTATATGTTCATTTCTCCAAAGAAGCCAACCAACAGAATCTGTCAATATCTTACTTATTAAACCTTCAATTGCTGCAAAAGAAGAGAGAGGAGAGACATGGAAGAGATTTGTTATGGCAGCGATAGCTGGATGAATATGACCAACAAATCAGTTCCAAACATGGCATCTGTGGACTCCTCTAAACGAAATATTGTTCATGTTTGAAATGTGTGCTCTCCTCTGTTAAAGCTACCAAAACAAAAATGAAAAACACTATCAATAATTCTATGACAAAAGAGAGGTTATGTTATGGCTGGTCTAACCTGGTGAACGCTTCAGTCCAAAGTCTTCATCCTGCATTTCAACCAGCACTTTAACATGTCATGGAGCGGAAGAAGAAAAACAACTAATGAGAACTGGATTTGGTCAAATGCAAAGAAATAGTGAGAGACAGACTTGACAAATTGACACAATGACACAGTAGTGATGTATGGATGCTCCTGACCTGAGCACCTCAGTGCTCCTCTAATCTACTCCTTCACCACAGGGAGATTAGAAATACTTCTCATAGCCACACTACCTGGTATTATAATCACATAACATGCTATTGCTTTTATCGTTAAATCCATATGTGCGCCATAAATGACACTAAATAAGATAATGTATGATACTTATTTTATAGCCAGCCAGCTTGATTTTGTGTTTTAGTGTTTATTTGGTTGGGACAGTGCGTTTAAATTAATGAACACACCGGATTGTAGCCGTGGGCTAATTATCATCCAATGTCACACTGTCGCACTCACAAACGCACACTCATTCACCTTGAATTATTATACATGTTTTTGTGGTAGACCAGAGTGTACGAAGGAAACCTACGTAGACACTGGGAGAACATGCAAACTCCACACAGAAAGGCCAGGAGGTCAAAATGGAACCAGGACCTTCTTGCTGTGAAGAACTGCATCCCCTTGCTGCCGATGGTTGTTAGGATTCAGAGGTCAGTCATTTTAGAGGACTATAAAAACCTCTGACCTCATATGAATCTGACTTATTCTATTGTTGACAGTTGTTAAAATGACATTGAGTCCAACTAGACCACCATCAGTCAGTGTGCTCACCCTCAGAGTTTTGCCTCGAGGTGGTGCCCCTCACTCTGAAGGCATGTTTAGCTCCACGGTTCTTCTCTGTGAAGCTCCAGCTCTTGGGGACCTTACTGGGACTGGCTTCAGCGCCCTCTTCTGGCCCGGGAGAGGAGACCTTCACTTTTACAACAGGGGTTTTAGATGGACTGGGGAACACCTTGTCCTTTAGGCTCGGCTTGCGGCTATAGACAGTGAGCAACATATTGTGTTAATCAACTTTGTTAAAATATTTGTGATGACCATGTGATTATTCTATGTCTATTTGAACAAGACACGGGACAAAAAAAAATCTTAAGTTACACTCAAACATACTTTAAGAGGTCCACTTTGTAACTTGTCGGGAAGGAAATCTGCCATCTGCTTGTCTCTATCTACATTAATGCTATAATTTTTCTTGGAATGTAACAAAATATTGCATTCAATCATCTATCTACTTTGGAGAACGTATTCCAATGTGGTTCAAATGGCGAATAAAGAATCTGAATCTTATCTGAATCATAGAAGAGAGATCAACATTCACAAGTCACAATGGATCCGCTGAGCTTTGCTTCACTTATGATTGCAAACACAAGCTATATTAACGTGTACATTTTGCCTAAACGACTGGACAAATTGATTAAGATTTGGTTTTTCCTTGATCTATTCGTTTCAGATTTGGAAAACAAGAATTTATCAGAGTGTGTCCAAAACCCTAGTCAATTGTCCCATGCCTTGTTGCAGACATTTATCATCCTTAATCCTATTCCAGAGATATTTGTACATTATTTACCTGAGTCATGTGACGTGCTGTGGAGAAGCTTACCTGGACAGCAATGCAAAATGTCCTAGAAGAGGGTGCCATGAATCCCCACAGAACCACATTCACTGGTTCAGGTAAGCAGCCGGAAGCGTATAAGCGAGCATGCATGGGGACGTAAAGTGACGGCACATCTCCAAAAAACAAGAACAAAACAGTGAACACAAACCGTGCAAACAGAAGTATCGTACGGTCCGTCTGAAATGCACTGTTTTACGTAACTGCTACTGTATGTGCACCTTTCCCTGCTAAACACAAGATTTCAAAAAAAGGCTGATTAGGCAAAAAAGGCGGCAAGCAAATCAACGGCATAAAGACATTACTAAACAGAAACCATAAATCAACTTTGACAGGGCAGTTTAAAATAAAAAAGCGCCTATACCTGCTTTGTGTAAGGAAAGTAAGGAAAATAGAGAACGGCAAGAACCACCCTGAAGAATAGGGGCAAAAATGAATCCAACATTTGAATTGAAAATATTTAGGAACTGAAAGAAGGGGAGGGGGGAAGCACACAGACTTGCAGTGCAGTTAGTGACTGTGCAGCTCTGTACCTAATGTTTCTTGGACAGCACCCGCAAAGAGTGTCTTTATGTGCACTTTCACTACTGCAGTGGTGGCATAGGGGGAGACACAGAGAGATCAGATAGCAGTGGATACAGTGACAACAACAGCAGTGTGCCAAGTGCTCACTCAGTAACACTTTATTATCACTCGCCTTGTATTCTTTTTGTCCTATATATTGTACAATGGGCATTATGGGGAGAGAAATCACCATACATAATGTTCTCTAAATCACTACTGATGCTACTGTGGACCCTTCTGCCTTAACGCCGCACTTAGAACGTACACATTGATGCCTTCTATGGATAATGACATTACTTCTGACTCTGCACATGTCATTCATCTGTCAGATTGCACAATGAACACTGCTGGCTACAAATGAATTTCATGTGTAGTGATTATGTTAGTTACTTTAAGAGGGTTTGGTGAAAAACATTGGTCTGTAAAAAATGGAAGTGATTTTTTTCTTTTTTGTTGTTGTTGACCAAAATAAAAATCTAAGTAAGTCATTATTAATACACAGGGTTGCCGTACTGGAGGCACATGCCAGACTTATTGTATTTCTTTTTAGTTGTAGGGAGAAACAGAGCACCCGAACTAAACATATGCAGACACAGGGAGAACATGCAAAGTCCACACAGAGATGAGGCCCTGTCTGGAGGTAGAATCAAACCTGGGGTCTTCTTGCTATGAACCACAAGTGCTAACCACTGTGCCACTGCGACATCCCAACGTCCCAAACTAAATATGTGCACTATGGATTCATACTATGTAGAATCTTTATCATTGGTATTACTGTAAATATGAGTCTGTAATCCTCTATTACCTTTTCAACTACTAGAGTACTTATTTTTTAGTGTGGCCGGAATGCTGCACAAGTCTATTTAGAAGTGTCAAATGTATTATCCAGGTGGTTATGGTTAGGGATGGGGTAAGTTACTGTATGTTAGACAGGACAGAGATGAGATTTGAAAAAATGAAAAGGCTTTTATGAATTATACTTGGAGCATTTAAAAAGAAGACGTGTTTTAAATAAGTATGTCAGCCTTACATAGTGCTTTTCAGGGCATAGATATTAGTTGTAAAGATTTGCATTTATTTCAAAATAGTTTAACAATAGTTCTTTGTTTAAGTGCTTTTTTATGTTCCCACTGTGTCCCTACCATGGAACAAATAAAGGCTCATCTGATTGTTTTTCTCACAGTTTAATAAAATACACCAATACTGTATCTCTTTTGAAGTCCTTTCTAAACTCCAATATATATTGACGTACATATTTCCCGAGCTTACCTGTTTGTTCCCTCCATTCTATTGTTTGTGAAAGACAAAGTCATGATAAAATGTTACTACAGTTTCACATGTTTCTTTGGTCAAAAACAGTGACATAAGCAAAGCACTCCCCGGGGTGCCGCTAGCAGCTATAGCCTCAGAGAACAGCACATGGAGAATCTTTCAGAAGGATGTGGGAGTGAAGCCAGAATGCACTGATCTTTGAGCGTGTCGGCGAAAGCAGCACAACTGTTCTTGAAGGAGGCGCACGTCCATGTCTGACATACTGACACACTTCCATCCTCTCTCTTACAGTCAGCACCACACTCACACACACACACATGCCTACAGAACACACTCCTTCAAGAAGAGCCAAGCTGAGAGCAGAGCTGAACCCAAGCCAAAGAGCTGCTGAGGTAAATGAGCCAATCAGATCACAGACCTGGGAGAGGTGTCGACCGCAGACTCCTTCCTGCAACACACAGCAGTGCAGTTATTACACAACCACGAGTCCAATGAGACGTGTGGAAATCAGACAGAACATCGAACTAAACATTTGGCAGTATTGTGGCGCCACCTGCATGTGAGAGCCTGTGGGGCGGCTGCGACTGGAAAGTGCCAAACTGTTGTTGTGTCCTTGGGCAAGACACTGAACACACATAACGCCTAGAATAAGTCTGGTGTGTGTGTGTGAATGTTTGATGGTGGTCAGAGGGGCCAATGGCACATACTGGTTGCCTTGCTTCTGACAGTGTGCCCCAGGGCAGCTGTGGCTACTGTGATGGCAAGCGGCCTAGACTCGGGGACGCCAACTCACCCCCCCTGCTGCTCTATCCAGCTAACCTGCAGGAAGGAGCCGGGCTTCCCCCCGCACCTACAGACAATGACTGTCTCACCCTTGTCCCTTTTGCATCTTGCATCTGTATGTCTGCATCTCTACATCCTGCATGTCCATTGTCTCTCTGTTTGCATCTCTATGGCACGGTCTGATTGCCTCCCCCCGGACTAGGCGCCTCGCCTCTGGATGCGCCTCCTGTACTGGTGACCCCCTCCCATCTTTTGTGGGCGTGACTGTCTTTCATGTGTTGTCTATGTAAACAGGAACCTGGTCTGGCCGCGTCAGAGCTTATGGACGCTGCTTTGTGTATGTGAGCTCTCCGCACGTGTGTACAATAAACTTACGCTCCTGATTAAGACAAATACTTTTGAGCTTTCTCCTTCATTGGGGTATGTAATTCTACGACAATTTGGCGTTGCTGGCATGTCTTGGCCTGGATCTTTTCGGCGGGGACGAGCGGCTGCGTTTGGCCGACCTGGAACAACACCAGCCTCTGCTCTATTTGGAGACAAAGGGAGGGCGCGCTCGTCCTGCGCGTGAACAGAATCTTTGGCCACACAAGACCAAAAAGAACCTGATTTGGTGAGTTTTGTCTTTTCATTTGCGTAACAAGCCCAGGGCAGCACTTAAGTGTACACGGGGTTTTGATTTATTTACGTATTTTTTGGGGTATTTCATTCATTGCCACAGCATAGACTGTGTGCGGGATTTTTTGGGGTATTTTGTTCTAGATTGAAGCTAGCGGCTGCGTGTTAGTATCGCTCAGTAAGCGACCCTGAAGATTATCTCTAGTGCCTTCAGCCAGGCCCGCTCCGTTTCAAGAACGCGCGCTCGTTGGGTATATAGAACCCACGGGGGGGGAACGGAGCGCTCCAAAGTGGGTAAGAGCAGGGAGAGACTAAACGGGTTAGGTCCATTGTTCTGTACGAGAAAATGGGGAAAAATCAATCTAGAGATGCCACACCGAGGGGAATGTTAACGTCCCCCGTTACAATGGCAATGGAAAAACGGTTCGAATCTAAAGCTATGGAGTGCTTGCCTACATGGTGCAGTGTTCATTTGGCTTTTCCGATAGAGGCTCTATGTCTCTGAATCAATTACGCATCTTGCGTGATAATTTAGAAGAAGAAAAAAAAAAATATACTTGGTTTTAAGAATATCACGGCAAAAGACGTTAGAGAAAGAAATATGTAAAAACAATAGCTCCTCCGCTTTTCACCGAAGCGGAGAACACACAGGCGGACACACAGGCGGACACACACATCCCACACACCCCCCACCCTACCGCCCTCTCTCACCTACTAACCCTTTCACACAAGGAGCAGAACTCCATGCTAAGTACGCGCCCAAACAAGGCGTTGGGTTTTTAAAAAAATGAGCAGACTACTGTTGTCCCCTTTTCCTCTCCCTGTCCAGGTCTGTCGGCGCTTTCCTCCGCGCTCTGGCCCCTGCCTCAAAGCCCCAGCACAAGCCCCACGCCCCAACCACGGCGGCGCTCGCACCAGCTGAGACCCCGCGAGAAGTGGGCCCAAACCCGGGAGCAGAAGAAGAAGCGGCGGAAGCAGATACACGCTCAGGAAACCGCAGAAGAAGAAGCGGCGGAAGCAGGAAACCGAAGCTCACGACTCACTCCGTGGACACATTATGTGAGACACCGACAACTGCTTTGGAGGCCAGAGACAAACTGCTCCAAATCCCGTGACTGTTCCCCACGGAGGCGGCAGCGTGAAACACAAAACGCACCCGCTGAAACATCGTTGAAGGTTGCCCCCGCACCGCAAACAGAAGAAGCCATTGGGACCGGCACGTTTGGATATTAACCAACCCTCATGGACCACAGGCTAACATCATTTGAACGCTTTGGGCTACCTGGGCCTCCTGCGGACTTTGAGAAACTTCCACAGCCCGGCGGAAAGACTGTGTGCTCGACATGGGTCGAAGGACTGTTACCGGAGGAGGCGTTAAAGGCAGAGGAACGCTTCACAAGAGTCACACGGGGCCAGAGGACGGCAGAGGCGGGCGTTCCAAACCCGGGTTCACATGTTTACAAGCAATTGGCACACACCCGAAAGACAGTCCCAGCCTTTCTGTCTCCCCTAAAATGAGTGGCCGCTTCACATTCATTAGCAGCGTCGGGAGAGACAGATGGGAGGGGGTTCAGCAGAGGACGGGGCTCTGGAGCGGAGACGCCATGTCCCGGGGAGAGACATCTGGCCGCGCCATAGGGATGCAAACAGACTGCAGGATGTAGAAAATGCACACATACAGACCGATACATATGCAAGAGGCGAAAGGGGGCAAGAGTGATCACCATTGTCTGTAGGTGTCGGGGGGGACCCGGCTCCTTCCTGGAGCAGGGACATATGAATAGAAGCAGGCAGGGTTGCATGAATACTAGCCGCCATGAATACTAGCCGCTTGCCATCACAAGAGCAGCAGTACTTTTCTCTTTTTTGTTCTCCTGTACATATTTCTTCTTCAAAATGCAATATACTCTGCGTGTATTGGGTATTTTTCTTTTAACTATGGGCCGCATTGTATTGTGTCCCATGTGTGTAAGATTAATAATAATAATAATAATATTTTAAGGCTCAGGGTTTTCCACAGTGTATCATTTTATATCTCTATAAGAAAATACCTCCCTAACAAAACATGGAGATCTGATGTGACAAAAAAAATCTAGTGTCTTTGTCTTGAATTGTAATCGACTTAAAAGGGCAGATGTTACATTATTATGACCAGAGGAGGCAAATGTCTTCTAACGTGGACACGGCTGAATTGTATTCCTGTCAGTGTGTGTTCATTGGTGAAGCATGTCCGTGCACATGCCATTACCAAAATGCACCAGGACCATCCATCCTGGTGCTCTCCGACAACTCTGGTAACGGCACGTCACTAATGGAGCCATTGATTGTGAGCTTTCATCATTTATCACTGAGGTCAATGTCTAACCATGCCTCACACACCGCAACACATTTCTGAAAACAATACATTTCAGATAGTAGAACCGTGCGAGATGCAGCTGGTGAAGAAACCGCCTTTTGAGAGCTTTAACCAATAGTTCTTAGCCACTGGGGACGGCAAACGGATCTTCAGAATAAATGGCCTGGTTTGTGTATCTGGTTTTAGCCAATTGAATTTCATGTTTATAATTTGACTGAGGTCCCAATGGGAGAATCTTCTAGTCCTATCATTTTAATCAGAACCACCAGAAGTCTCCTCTGTGTAGACTCTGGGTGGTCTGTTTATCTATTCTTGCCCAGTTTAATATATTTGGTGCCAATTAGGTTTCAGTCCATTTAGATTCAACAGTTATGTAAAACAATTCATGGAACTCCTGGCATCTGCTTTTTTGTCCAGCAAAGTGAAAAAGATAGGACCACCCTCACTCAGTTTTATTTGCTCTTTTTGTGTGTGCATGTGAAGCTCTTTAGGCAGCTGGTGTTGTTGTAAATATGCTATAAATAATAAACAAACTAAGCGGACAGTGACATTGATATTAACATCAGTCCATAAGCTCTTATTTATGCAAAAGATAACAACATGTCTTCCAAAAGAGGAAGCGTGCTGTTATTATGAAAAGAAAGCTTGACAATCACATACATGACAATGCAATACTACTCCAACATGTGCACATGTTTATTGACGTTATGTGTGGGATTTTAACACTAGAAATCCCAGTCATTTTGATTTTGATTTCTCTCGTTCAAACCAATAGAATTCTGAATTCCCCCCAAAAAAAACAGTTTGATGATAATTGATGATAATTAACAGCTGATATAACTAAAATGCAGCAGAAATAAATACAGAAAAAAAATGTTGCTATGGTAACTAGCACAGCTCTGAACCTGTCGAGGACCAAAATCGTACACACGGCTGTCAAATTGACTGCTCTAGGAGTAAAAAAAAACACTGGAAGTCATTTGTTGGAGCAGTGCCAGTGCCATGTTTGTAAATGCAGGTGTGCCCACTTGTCCTGCTGTACTGCGCAATCTCATGTACAGGTGCATGTGCAGAATGTCCCACTCTGTCCACAGCATCATTGCTGTATTGACCAACCCAGGTCTGAGTTCAGTGCGTTATTTCTCCAGTATTTGGACTCACTGGCTTCAGAGCCTATACAGGAAATGACTTATCCTTTAACTTGTACTTGTTTTTTTTTTTTTTATGTGTCTTTTTGTTTTTCTTGTTGTTACATGTCTATATGTCTATAATATGGACCTTTTATTCTTGTGTCCGAAATAAAGTATTGAATGAATTTGTATGATTTGGCAGCTGTAATTGAGTGAACTAACTGGGCTGTTGTGAGTACGGGAGGCTTTGGAGGGAAGCTACTATCATAAATCATGGCCAATCAAACAGACCTTTTCCCCTGAAGACTTTTCTACATGTAACAACAGAGGAGACAGCGGCTCCCAGGCACTGATGCATCACCTGACTACTTTCATTTGGCTGATGATGCACTTATTCAATAACACTAATCACATGATATACAGCCACAGAGGTGAACGCTTCTCCGTGACCACTTTAATGAGCGCCGGGAAATATTGACATGAATTTATGGACCCTGAAGCAGCAAAAACTTCAAGGATAAAGATGACAAAACGCAAGATAGGATTTAGCAGATAATACAATAATATTAATGCAGGTACGCCAGACTCAGGTGAAAGGTGGGACGCCAATACAAGATGGCGCCCTATTCAAATCAATGGCTTGTGCTCAGTAGTGCATTGGGGCCAAAAGATTAGCAGAACTCGCTCAGTTTTGGTCATTTCTCTGGTCCTCCTGGTTCTGTGCAGTGGAAGAGATGCCATAATGCTTTGCGCCATATACACGTGTGTGGCTCTCACGCACGGATTTGAGAAGAAAAAAAGTTCAGGACGACAAAGGACACTAAAATCCCCACAGAATGCGATCTATGGGGAAAATCTCTGGGTAGCCCACGTGAATCTAGTCCGCTCTGAGCCACTGCTGATCAGAGCTAGAGCAGAAGCTAAACCGGCAGAGATTGTTGCATTATAGTGTAGATTTATAGAAAAGGATTTAGGAAAGGATTTAACAAGAATAAAAAGGACAATAAAATCCCCACAAAATCCGACCTTTATGAAAGCTGTATGTTCTCTGTCCAGCTGAGGTTGAGCTGCTGAGTTCTATAGGATTTTTTTTCTGGGTAGTCCACGTGAATTTAGTTTACAGTACCGCAGGCGCTCTCTGTGCCGTTTGTGGGACAGCTATAAGCTAGTAATACCCTATCCAGATATCATAATAGATATATGGGAAACAGGCTACATCTCTTTCTGCAGACATTTTGTGAAGTTGCAGAGAATAAGCACAGCATGTGAGGCCAGGAGCAAAGTGAAATTATCTTATATGTCAAGGTTCAGTAGAAATACAGCTTGTTTGACCCCCACTACCTCAGCTCCAGACCCTGCAGACAAGAACTCATCAGTGAGTGTGGAGCAGGTTCACAGGGTAAGATGTAAATGCGGAGGCTACCTAAAAACAAAGAATAGACTTCAGAATTATATGTAGAAAGTTTGTTTGAATCTCGGTCATAAAAGGGCCTTTCTGAGTGGGGTTTGTATGTTTTCCCCGTGTCTGAGAAGGTTTCCTCCAGGTGCTCCGGTTTCCCTTACCACTAAAAATATGTACAAGGCCGGACAATTGTAAAGCGCTTTGTGCCACTGGTCTGTGAAAGGCACTATAGAAATTAAGATTACTTATCAACTTACTTATATACAAATCTATCCATCCATCCTTCCCCTTAATCCATTTCTGGGTCAGGGGGGTGGCAGTCAGAGCTGCACCCAGTACACAAAGCACCAGCCCCTCACTGATCATCCTGCAAGTGGTGAGTCCACAGGAGCAGAGATCTTTCAGAGGGAGCATCAGGCAAAGTGGGGTTAAGTGTCTTGCCCAAGGACAAAACGACAGCAGACATCAGTGGGAGTCGTGAAGTAGGTCTTATGGTGGGCTCGAACCCACAACCTTCAGGCTGTACAAATCTATTCTATGTGAGAATTACATGTTAGAGAAGAACATTTGTGGCACCATCTGCATTGGAAATCCTCATCCCGGCAGACCTCAGACGCTAAGCATGGCAGGGGTTAGTAAGTACTTTGATGGGAGACCACTGGGAACACCAGATGTGCACAGTGGGGCAGCTGCGGCTGTAACGTGCCCAGCTGTTGTTGTGTCCTTCGGCTGAGAATAGTGTTGGAATCAATGGTTTGTGAGTGGTCAGAGGGGCTGGTTGCACATAACGGTCACCTCGCTTCTGTCAAGGTGTTCCAGGGCAGGCGTGGCTGTAGTAATAGATTAGTGAATGAATACGGCCATGTGATGTGTCTTTGAATGTCCAACAAAGAGCTGCATGAAACAAAGTATTATCACTGCAGATTTTCCCAAAAATACTGGACCAAAATTTACTGAATCCTTAGACAGAGACGAGAACACTAATGACAAGGTAAGAAAGAGGATTTTGCACAAGCCCTTTAATGTTTGGATATATGTCACACTACAGTGAACAGTACCAATGTCCCGTGAAAAGGTACTAGTCCTTGACCAATCTTAAAAGCCAACGAGACGCTTGACTAAATGCAGATTAATACTGCGTCTCATTAATTGAAGTCTAATTATGATGGACGTCTTCTATCAACAGATTTTTAAACAGGAAAAGAAGCTTAGCATAATATGTCAACTTCAATTTACGTCAAAGCATTCAAAGCCTTCAAGGCCTTCTCATGATCCACTTTTGAAGCATCAGACGGTGTTTCCTGTATTCAGTTTGTATCAAAAAGTCAAGGCTTGTGGAAAGCAGTATTTTCTTTGCACCTGCTCTGTTTGCACCCAGTATTATACCAGAGTCGTTTCATCAGGAGGACAGTCTGTGCTTCTACTGTGACCTGACACAGTTAAAGATTCTGATGGTTTTAAATGTAGAAATGGTTTGCCCCCGTAAGTCTGACAGAGCTGTTATCTCTGTGTGCTGCTGTGGGATCAGTGAGGTCAGAAAACCAGTTTCTGTTTAACGTGCGCAGGTCTCCGGGCCTTTGTTGTTGCTCCTCCCTTTGGAATAGTCTCCCTCTGTACATCAGAGCAGCTCCCCCATTGGAGCTTTTTACAGAAATACACATTTGTATGCTTGTCTATGGCACCTGATGTTCCCAGAGATCTCCCATCTCAGCACTAACCATGATCTGCCCCACTCAGCTTCAGAGGTCTGACAGAATCTGGATTTTGCATGCAAGACACATATAGTGCATACATATCATAAATAATCACATTACATAAAACAGAGTAAATATAAAATCCCTCAGTTGTATGTACAGCTAAACAGAACCATTTTTAACCTGGATGCGAACATTGTCAGAGAAGAAGCCTGTCTCACATTTTCAGAAAGGCTGTTAAAGGTTTTAGCTGCATGAATCTGAATTGCAGCCTCCCCATGTTTACCTGTAGTTCTGACTCTGGGCTCCAGCAGGAGGTCTGAGTTGGTTCATAAGGCACATAAGAAAAGATGAGATAAACTTTATTGATCTCACACTGGAGAAATGTACATGTCACATTTGGCATGAATAGAATCACTCAGATTGTGCAAAAGGACAAAACTATAGTCTGTGTTGGATAATTATGTACAGTAAAGAAAATAAAAAAGTCACAGCATGTCACAGATGTACTTTGGTGCGAGGCCTTTTAATTATAAGTCATCTAATAATAGATTTCCAGAACAGAACATGCTGTAGACCATGGGAAAGGTCACATCTATAGATTTACTTCATATTAACAGCAAGCTTCAGTAAATAACTCAGATATGGTTGAAAAGGAGGTGGTTATGGCCTGGTGCTGTCTGATTGCATGGATCTTTGTAGGCAGTTAAAATAATGTTGGAAAATGGAAAGGGAAAGAGCTGTGATGATGATTTATGTTTGCTATTATATCTGCATGTTATATACAAAGAAGCTTATTTCACTGATACAAATGAATGAGTATTATAATGTAAACAATACATAAACACATACTGTTGTTCTATAATAACATAAGCCAGCTGGGTATAGTCAGTAGTCATGTGTTGGCCTATGCATATCTGGGCGGTGTTTCTAATCTAACTTATGTAATACAATTCTCATTCCGATTATTGCTGCATCGTCACAAGGCAACACCAGGCAACGCTTTCACCCTAATCATTCTCTAATTCGACGAGCACAGTGCCTTTTGTCTCACAATTGCTTTTTTTAATAAATGGAAATATATACAGACTGAGCTGGGACCTGGGAGGTTCTGCTGAGTGTAATATTCTTCACACTAAGGCCTTCTCTGCAAAATAATGGGATATAATTGAAGAAACAAACCAACCGACAATCAGCTGAATAATGAAAAAACGACAATCAGAAAGGAGGGGGACGGACTGATGCGTTTGGGCATCGGGAACGTTCATAAACATTTTCCAAGAATCAAACCAAAAGGATCCAGTACATTTGCAAGCAGCAATAAAGCAGCTCGTACAGATGCCTGTTGCCAGTCAAGCCCCTGCTGGAATAACACTGGGGAGGTTTGTGGCATATTTATCGTTGACGGAGAAATTGCAGCACATTAAAGTCACATTAAGATGAACGCAATTAGAAACAGAACACAGTAGGATCTCTTGTCACTCAAAACTCATTTTCTATTTTTAGGGTGCCCTAAATGATATCTCTCAACATTGAATTGTCAACAAGAGATAAACCGTTGGAGATTTTCAGAAGCAAAATGGTAACATTAGAACTCATTTAAGGTGATGGATGTATTTATCAGTAATGACAGTTGTTCTATTGTCTGTCTTTTTGTTACTTATTAGTATTATTTTTGCTTATCTCTATGGATTTTCCTGTAATTTACATGGTAGATTTTCATGTAATTACTTTTATTAATGACTCAAACCTGAAATTATAGTTGGTGTTACGGCTAATGTTGTGGCAATAGTTGAGAGTGTCTTGCCGCTGTAAGCAGCCTGGGCTACAGCATTAGCTTGACGTGTGCTCTTGAAGAAATAAACAGATTGAATGTCCAGAGGCAGAGGCAGAGGTTTCATGGTTCCAAACGAACTGTTTCAATTCCACATCCAATGCAGTTTTCCACAAAATAGCCCAGTCAAAAAACTGTTGGGCCTAAACCCAGGTCAGCTTCCACATTACACTCACAGGTTCCCCCTACTGTCCTTAAAAAGAACTGCACTTTACCTGGCCCACACAAAAATAAAGCTTAGGTGCCTACCAAAACAAAATTATTAACTTAGAATATGCATTTTCTTAATGGGAAATAAAATGGCCTTTACAGCCAATGACTAAAGAGGCACAGTCCTTTCAGCTTTTATTTCGTTTTTCTCATTTTTGTTGTTACTTCAAGGTTATGTTTTTGTGATACTTTTGTTGAGACAGCAGTCAGTCTAAGTTTAGTTTCACTGTGTATCAATGTAAAGGTTTAGGCAAGGTTTTTTTTGGTAATGTTGAGTTACTCCCTCATGTCCTGTATTTTTCTACATTATTTATGTCACCTCATCATTTACATCTCCATTTAACAGCTTGTTTTTTGTAACCTCCATTACCCGAGCAGAGCTGGGTCGTAACAGAGTTATTATTCTAGTCAGACCACAGCACTTCATTCACACATATCGCTTCCGTCATCACCGTGTGGAGAGAAAGGAAAAATATATGAACCCTGAACAATACAAACCACTTTGTGTGACCTTGCTCTGTACAAATGTCAGAATAAGAATCAGAATCTTTTTTATTGCCACGTAAGTAACAGGAGGTCACAGACTAGGAAATTGCTTTGGCTCAGTGCAACAGTCAAAAAGAGATAATAAAAATAAGAATAAGAATAAAAAACATGTGTGTTATACAAATAAAGATTACTTACTTACCTACTTGACCCTCTCCCTCAAAGAACACTCCATTTCCAATCTGCAAGGTCTATAATGTCATAGAAAGATCTTTGTTTATCTCATCTATCTCAATATTCATCATATTATTGCATGCCAGCCATCACGTTGTAAATCCTCACTGCTGAGATTTGTTTTATATGCATCATTTTAGATGGCTTATATTCAGACTGAAGATATTCTTGTCCTCTTGTATCAGAGGATCATCATTGAAGACAGAGGACTCTTCACCCTGGTTCACACATGACTTAGCCTGGTCTTAACACACCATCGTTCCAATTTCTGGATTTTGCTCCATTGAGCTCCGTTAACAGGTGGGAGGGGTTCACTCCTTTTGCCGATTGAAATGATTGGATCTGAGTTTACCGTGACGTATTTAACGGGCCAGAGTGAGTGAGGCATTTAGCATACAACCTAGCTTTAGCATTTACCATTTAGCCTAGCTTTAGCCACCTCCTTTGCCACTATCGGAGCCAGTGGGCAGTAGAGCCACAAGATCTTTGCAGCAATGACATTTGCTAAACATT